TATGTCTTAAGGCTTATTGTTATGATTTACAAATTTTAATGAATTTTCGTTATAAAACCACTTTTAATAGATGCAATATTTCATGATGTTATACAAAACAATGAAAAGTTTTTAACTTTAATTATGAAAAGGGCCTGTCCGATTTTCACTAAAAACTGATTATCAACTAATTTAACATTTATTACAAGAAACCGAAATTCACAATTAATGCTTTTTCGAATTGTTTATAAAAACACTTCACGATTTTTTGCAAACGTATACGAAATTTTTTGCAATTATCTGCTAATTATGAAAAAATACGACTTAAAAATTAAATATTAATTAAATACTTTTTAATCAAATGGCTCATGAAATTGTGAAAATGAGTGCAGTTGTTCCAATAAAACGTCGATATAAGTTTGAAATTTTGGCTTACACACATACATACTTTTTTTACTTTAATATTAAACGATTTTGATGACTTAATTGTCGAGTAGACATAAAATCAGCAAATCTTCTGGCAAAAACAAACCTCTTCAGAAAGTTACCAAAAAAAAACATACCTAACTCAGGATATTTTTTTGAAGATCCTAGAAATTCATTTTCTCATAAAAGGATAAATGAAATTGAATGTGCCTTATTATTCAATTAAAAACTGATTTCTTTCGAAAGGTAAAATTGGATTTATTAGTTTCTATATATTCAAATACATTTTATTAAGTGAATCATGTATAAAATTGTACAACTGTGATATTTCCTCTTGACTTTTTAAATTCAAAATATTAAAAACAGCTGTATGAGAAGACGGTTTTAAACTTTTTATTGCTTTTTCGCGACCGAACGACGGACATTCATTCCTCAAATTTCAATTGATATCCTAGTGATTACGGCAGATCTGAAAAATCACAGTACGGGATATCAATATATTATTTCAGTAGTAAAAATCTTAATTGTAAAATTGTTTGGCTTTAAATATATGATAATTAAATTAGAATCTTTCAGGTGAATTTACATGAAAAAAAATACCTGAAGTTTGTGAAAAATAATGTAAAGAAAATTTTGTGTATTCAAATTTCTTTATGTTAATTTTGGTAATGGAAATAATGAAACAGTGCATTCAACGAAGTCAACAATTTATTGAAATTTCATATCGTAACAAACAAATCATATGCAGACCTATATATACAGAAATTACATTTCATTCTTGACTTATGTTGTTGATATTCGTTGATATTTTTAACACATCATGCAACTTCATTTACAACATTTTGGGTGCTTATTGCAACAATAACAGTATTGAAGTATTTGGTTTTACAATGCAAACTTTAAAATGCACACCCCTATTTATATTATATACTGCATATATTTTACAGGTAAACTTAAATTGATTCTAAAATATGAACTAATTTATCTATTTATTAGGAGCACTGGCACATAAAATGTTGATAGTCTTCAAATATTAAATTTTGATTGCACAAAATCTGTTAAGATACATTTAACATAGAATATTTACATGTAGAAAAACTCTTGAAATACTAATGATTCATTTATTGTTCATCACTTGATCATATGCTATTGAACTGTAAACAAAGCCAAATAATTTATTTTATTAAATTTACAGCAAATAATTGATCAAACAAATTATTGATAACATATTAAAAATACAAGAAATTATATAAAAATAAAATATTGTAATATTTATTGAAATTACTACAGATCAGAAAATATCAAACCTTTCATAAATTTCAATACATATTTATCTACAAGTGCTCACAGTTCAGTTTTGTCACTACTACAATACCATCACTTTTTGCTTTTAATTTTATTCCAATTACATACTATGAGCTGTCTTGCATTGTCTCAATGCCTCATTGAATCCTTCGCACAAAGTCAAATCAGATTGTCCTTGTGCGCATTGCAAGAATTGTTTGATTTCCCATGCGCAAGGTCCAGTAGGTTCTTGGCCTTGGTAAGCAGCAGCTTGTTGTTGCAATTGTTGAGGGGCTTGTGCAGGTGCTGCTTCACTGGAGGAACCACCAGAGAAGAGACCAGTTATACCGGCTCCTACTACATGACCCTGGGAGGAATAGAGGTTGTAGAATTTTTTTGTAGAATGGACAATTTTATATAACAGATTAGTTACATACTCCTTGTGTAATTTTGTCAACATTAGTCTTGACTTAATAATTTTGTAATATAAACATTTTGTTAATAATTTAATAAATTTTAATATTTATTAATATTATATTTATATTTTGTAGGTTCATTCACTAAAGAAGAGTCAAATTGGGACTTGAAACATATGGAAGTCTTAAAAAAATGTTTAATAACATAATTCAGTTTTGTTTTCAATTTCTGGACATATAGGCTTTGCTTTTATGCACAAAATAAGTGTCCAGATATTTTCAACTTGGTACCTATATGTACCAACTGTAGTAAAAGGTTCATTTGAAAAGCAAATTTGAATTAATTTAATTCAGTGTAAAATTTGATGTATCTAACTTATACATAATAAATTGTGTATTACTGCAAGTCTGACACCATTCTTAGATTTTGTGAAAACAGTAAGAGATTTCAAATATTTCCCCCGAAGAATCTTAATTTAAGATCAAAAATCCAATATGAAATATTTAGAGAATTAACATGAAGCATTTTTTTACTTAGATTTATTATTTTTGGGGCTTCTAGCAATCTAGCAATTATGAGAACTATTAACTTACCACAGCGGATCCAACAGCGACTCCTCCAGCTGTTGCAGCCATCTGCTGGAACATAGATGGCTGTTGTTGGGCCTGCATGGGTGTAGCGGCTGCAGGTGCATGGGCTGGCGGGGCTGCTGGAGGGGCCCTTGCTGGCAAATTCGATGAGGCAGCACTGTTATGAGGTTTGGGAGAAGCGAAAGTTGAATTATTACTATTTTGTAATTAAAAATATGGACATAACGTGGGCACGCAGGTATTTGTGAGGGAAAATGAAGTATTGAAGGTAAGAAATATTTATATTAAAATTATAATCACACAAGGTTTGCATTGAGAAATTGGTAAATATGTTTTAAAATATTTCAAATATATAGTGTTAATGTTTATATCAAACAAGAAAATGATTTATAAATTAAGGAAGTTACATTGAGAAATTAGAAAATATTATGTTTTTTATAATATTCAATAGATAAGTTTTGTTAATACAAATCATTTTAGACGCATATGTAAAGATAAATGATTTACAAATAAGAAGTATACAAAATATATATTAGCAATAAAATATATACAGTATTACCATACATATCCAAGATTATTTATTCATACAAACCAGAAGCAAACAGACAATCATTCATTCCATTCAGATGTTATAAATAATTTGCAAATAACACCAGCCAGCACACAATATGAAAATTATAAATTAATACATTAAAAGTAATAGTGACTAATAACTACAAATCAATAGCATAATTTTATTTATATGTATATAAGGAAAATCATATAAACTTATTAAAAAGTATATTGAGAAAGTGATGTGTGACATTGCGGTAGGAATAGCTCAGTTGAATAGAATTCGAATTGTTTATTGCATAGAAATAATAAGTGAGTAGTATTTGGTAAAATAGTTAATTTAAAATTAAATAGAAATTGAATTGAGTAAAATTTGAAGAATTAGAAGTGAAAAGAAAAGCACTAGAACAATTAGAGTTGGTAAAATCAGATTTAGTAGAAGAAAAGAACAAAGAAATCAGTTGCTAAAAGCAAAAAAAAAATGATGGTGGGTTACAAATAAAAAAACTGAAAGAATGGCTTATAAATTTATGTAAATCTACTATAATAATATTAAATCAAGAAAATCTCAATTAATTATTGTTGTTTAATGAGAAATGTTCAATTCAAAGTTTGACCATGGCATTGCTCAATGTGATGCAATTTGCCTTCGGCCGAAAACATTGAACTCTTTGGGTAATTTTCCTTAATTAGTTTCTGAAAACAATATAAATAAATTCAAGTTTTGAGGAACTATTAATTTACGCAATACTAAATGGTTATGTAACAGTGAATTATTGACGGCATGTTAGCAACTAGAGACACATATTTTAAGGTTACAAAATATAATTAAGGATCTAACAGTGAAAAACTTACCGTCTTGGTGCTGGTGGGGGGCTAGCAGACCTTCCTCGACGGGGCATTTTGTTTTATTTTTTTTTAATAAAGAATTTCTCAAAATATATAATTTTATTGTTTGTAAAAAAATTCGATCGACTTTTTGACTTTGACACTCTTTTGTCTCTATTTGACGACTGAAGTACTGACGTACGTCGCGATGATACTAGAACGTTCTGCAGACGATAATCGCAGACGTATGTCTATTTTTAAATGTTAGTATAGCGACATCTCTGAAGTCGGAAGCGAAACAAAGCTGCCAAGTCATGGTAACGGAAATTAAAAAACGGGTTCAAAATGCAATTGTTTATACTCAAATTTTGAGATAATTATTTTATCATTTTCTGGTTTTCGTACAGCGTATGTAAATGCTAAAATATTTGGGTACAGGATTTGATAAAACGAATAAAGGATTTAATGTTTTTACGGTTAGCGTTGTTATGGCAACGCTATGTTACGCTCATTTCTTCATATAAAATGGTACTAAAAACTATTAAATGTATTTGTTGTGCGAGCAGGCGTTTTACACATAAAATTTACTTCACGTATGTGTTATAAATGCAAATATATAGCATTTTGACAGTTTTTACTACCAATTTATTTAAAGAAAATATCGTGACATACTGTTGCCATATCAACTCTATGTTGTGGTCTGTTTTATCGCAATTTTATTATTATAAATTTAACCCTTTTCACTCGCGAATTCCGAGATTTATATGAATGAATTTTGCCGCCGGAGCGGTTGCATCCGAGTCGAAAGGGTTGAATGTTATCATTTTCGTAATAAAACTATACTACTCTTTCACTGTGAAAAGTTTCACATCATCAAAAAAAATTCAACAATTAATTACGCTATTACTGTCTTGCTGATCTTTACCAAAAACTAATTACCCTGAATTCCAATTTCTTTATGAATTTTCAAAGTCGGTTCAGGATTTTCTGATAAATTTGCACGCCTAATATTTTTTTTAAAGAATGACTCAGCCGATAGTCTTGCAAAACTAATCAACGCGATTTTATAGAGTCTTTAAATTTTTTGAAATTTGCAAATAAGATTTTCTATCGAAAACACAAACTTGGTCAAGAAGTTAATAATGTTAATTATTTAATGCGTAAATTAATAATTCATTTATGTATGTATATCTTCTTTTTTTTTTAAAACAAATATCAGACAATCGATCATTTTACAATCATTGCCAAAAGGCCAAATATTTGGCAATTAATCAAATTACAAAGTATGCGTCATACTTTCATTCGTTCGGTGTGATCAGGTGATTTCCGAATATTCTAGACTAAAATATTAATTCAATTTGCCAAACTTATTTTTCAAAGTCGGCCTAATGGGTGAACAAATATTTATTCGACGCGGGCGATGTGTACATTGAAAGTATAAACATAAGCAATGCATATATTGACAATAAAAAGATTAATAATAAAATGAGGTATTTAAATCAAATAAAAATAAAATGATTTTAAATAACCAATGTTAAAATATATGCTTTGTAAACTTAGCACCCATTTTAAATCAATATTTAATGTATTAAATATTTGTGCAGATGGAAGACAGTCAGGGATTGCATTTGTTGAAAATATTGCATTTGTATAAATATTTAATACAAAAAGTTAGCTTAGCAATCAAATCTTTTGGTAATAATTTATGACATCTTGCAATACAAACCGTATACCAAATTATTGAAAATACACCAAAGAGAAAGAGCGACCAGGACTTCGCTCATCTAAAAGATAATTATAATTTCAGTGCGAGAATTCTAATATTCTAGATCCTCCTCCCCTACGAACTAATGCCTAACGACGGTTTCTGTAGAAACCAGGGACAAGGGAAAGCAGAGGTTTTAGTCGGTATTATACCCAGGCGGTATTGAGTCCGACATACCCAGACAAAAGACCCAGTCTGAGATTCTTTAATGCATTAATTCGCTATACAAAAAACACATATCTCTCGTTTTACATGGATACGTTTCATAAAAAATCTTGTAACTTGAAACATTCACTTTTATATGAAAAAACCGGGCTATCCAAAAATCACTATGAAAAACTATTTTTGTCAGTTTTTAATATGATGATAACAAATCGAAAAATGAATCTCAATATATTTAATATAAAACATATTTAATAATCTTTAACAAATTAATAAATCAAATATTAAGAAAACCATGATATATATTGATAATTAAATAGTAAATAATTCAATTTATAAAATTTGTTCAAGTGATATATGCAATCATAAGATTCTGATTATAAGTAAACAATAGAATAAATTTGTTATTTCAAAAGTTAACGGTTTGAATCTTATCTTTTTGTAGGTTATTTTTATGTTGGCGACAGTGGCTTATACAGACAAATCATACGCGTGAAGTTGCTGTTTGACATTTGGGTTGTGTTGTTTGACGTTCATTGATCAGACAATAATTCGTAGTGTTTACAACTACATAACCTAACAATTGATAAATATTATAAATACGGCTAGTAAAAAAATATAATCAAGTGACATGTATTTTTAAATAAATTATAATAATATTAACATAATTAAAGTACAATTTCATCATGAATGCAAAATATCACTGTGATTATTGCAACATTTCGTTTAAAGATGATGGCACCAAACGAAAAACTCATTTGAATGGATTTGCACACAATCGTGCTAAGAATGAATATTTATTATTACACAGAGGCAAGTTATAAAATTATCAACATATATACAATAAATTTAGCATAATCTAATTTAGATTATATTGAATATATCCCTTGCATAATTTCCAAACTACTTTTAAAAGTGTATTTTTGTAATCATAATTAAATTTTTAAGTATCTTGTCATCCAATGTAATAAGACGATAATTGCTGTCAGGATATATAAATATCATTTTTTTTATTAATTGGAATTGATTTAATTTTTGACTTTTTGTGTATTCATTGTAGCAATTTATATAAAGTCTTAGTAATTCATACAACATTTTAGAAAAGTTATTAACGGTGCCAGAAAGATAACTGAGCATCGTCAACTCTTCAAGATACTATACAATTAAAGATTATTGTTCAGTCTGACAAGGCATGTTTGTCTTTTCTTTGGGATTGGGATGATTGAAAATTTGACATGATAGTTGTATACAAAAATTAATTATAATTTCTTTTTAGAACATATATAGTTTTATGACTGAATTTTAAATAAATTTTTCATACATTTGCCTTAAACATTTCAAATTAAATTGTTCAGAGAAGATATGTTCACTTGCATCACATAATATCATAATTATAGTTATTATATTACTATACTATAATTATCATTATTATATACTATAGATTTTTCGCTGGGCACAACTGCTAATAAATAATCATAATGTTTCTTTTTAATATACAATATTGTTAACAGTCTCTACTCATTGCTTTGTATAAACAGATCAAAGAAAATAACATTAAAATAAGTAAATAAGTAAGAATGATAATTTACTGAAATATTATTGATTTTATAGTTTCATCAATACTGTTCTTATTATTACTTTAATATAGCATATTTAGAATGTAATTGTTAATTTAAAAACAAACCATTCAATTGTTCTTTACCATTATCTTATTGTTCTTTATTATTTTCAGATATAAGAGATATAATACAACAAGAATCAGCTAAACAACCATGTGTAAGATTTTTAAATGGTATGCATTGTAATTTTGGAGCATCTTGTAGGTTCACACATTATTCACCTCCTGAACTGGACAATTTAAGAAGAATCGGTATGTTGGGTTATTATGTTTCATTTCATTAACTTCATTTTATTTTTACCTGGTTTTTGGGATTATAGAATTTCATATTTGTGACTATATTTTATTCTTTACATTATTATTTTATTGGAGTTTATTGAAATCATGTATTATTTTCTTAATTTCATTCCACTATCAATTTTTGTTGATATGTTTTTCTAAATTTATCTTATATAGTCTTCTATCTATCAAATTATACTAGTTATCACTCAATAAGTCTATAAAATTATTTATATTTTGATATGGAAATTTTGAATAATTCGTAGTTGAAATGTACACTTCAGTATTCAGATTATATAAACTATGAATTATTCAAGATATAATATATCCAAGTATAAATAATTTTACTGGCATATTGAGTGATGAATTTATAGATTATTGAAATTCATCCACTAAAAAAAACAAAACTACAAACTTTGTTCTTTTGTATACTAAGATACCCGGCAAAAGAAACATGTAATAGTGATTTTTATTCACAATTCATAGTTTTTATTCATAGAAATATATACTAAATAGAAATATAATTTTATTATATTTCTGAATTATGGATTTGATGGAATTTGGCTTTGAATACTTGCTGTAACCAATTTGAATTATCAGAGAGTTGATAAAAGAAATCATCTTACAGCAGAAATATTTTTGTATCAAGTATTTCTCACTATACTATATTATAATTTACCTTCTTATCAAAAACAATTAAATTGGTTTAAAATGCTATATAGTTTATGAGTGAAATAATTCACAATTCTGTTAATGCTGAATTTCTACTAGTCGGGTTTAAATTACTGCACAAACTTCTATAGTGCACTATAAATTCATGTCATTTTTCTGTGGTATCATTATTTGGAGATGAATTAGAAATTTTTTTGCCATTTTTCTGTGGAATCATCATTTGGAATCCAATTAGCAAAATTCATGTCATTTTTTGTGGAATCATCATATGGAAACTAATTAGAAAATCTTGTCAAATGTAAAACATTGTCATCAGTTTTTGTGCTTTAAATCATCATCATTTTTATTAATTTATTTTTATTTATGGAACCTTTTATTTATTTTATTTATGCAACCTTTAAATTGCTTTGAAAACCAATAAGAGTCTAACATATATATTCTCCATTGCTCAATGATTCAGCTGATGATCATGAAAGGAAGCGTATGGCCCGACGTGTATTCAAATCAGAATCATCGGGACGAGATCTATTAAACTCATGGTTGATGAAAAGGAATAAGATTAAAACCTCAAAACAATTAACGCACAAAAAAGTTTTACAAAAAAATAGTTCTGAATCAGGGAATGAAAGTGTAAGTGAAACCTCACAACTGGAGAGCACCCAAATAGACAACGAGAATGGAAATGATGATACAAATGTATTTACTTGGACTAGACCAAGAATAATGTTAGATATGAACTTTTTGCCACCTTCTCTGCGGGAATTTAAAGAGGAAGACTTTACTGATAGTGATTTTGCACAATGGTGATATGAACTAAATGTGTTGGTGAAATAAACTGTAAATAAATTTTAACTAGAATAAATTATAATTTATATAACATGATTATGGATCTTTATTATAGTTTTATTATTCTGCATATATATAGATACTCTTCTTTTAACTATGTACAGATACAAACATAACTTTACTGAAGAGTAGATCTGTGATTTAGGTTTGACTCCAAAATTACAATAGTATATGCCTGGATTAATTTATTAATTGTTAATAATTAGTTTATAATTTTGTTTAATCAATGGATTGAGTTTAATATTATCGAAAAGGATTAGTACAATATTATAAGTCAAGCTTCTATCTGGGAGCAAATACAGTTTGGAAGAAATTTGAGAAGAAAGGGCAAGGGCACAAATTTTTGGATTTGAATGAAGGTTTTTAAGATTTAAATACCATTTCAAAACTTGTTGGATGAATGTCTTCAAAGAACATGCTATATTCTTAGCCTTTTGGCACGAATTAGTACAAACTAGTACAAAATGTAGTACAAAATTACTACAAACTAGTACAAATGTAGTTCTACCAATTTTTGCATACATTATTTTTTTATTACAGAACAAACATGTTTTTAGAAAGAAATTGTAGTGTTGACGTGTTTTAATGCAAAATCGGCTTTCTTTTTTCTTTGATTTTGAAACAAAATTAAAAGTGTCTCTCGTTAGTACTATAAAAATGATTTTAATTAGAGAGAATAATTTCATAAGATGAATTTGAAAAACATTGAAATATTTTGAAATGATTTTGAAATTGGAGGAGATTGGCAAAGAAATTTCTAATCTGGATCAACTAAGAACTGCAACTCGAATTGCAATTTGATAGTATAAAGATGATGACAGTGACTGTTTAATCAATAAATATCCGAAGAACAAAGCTTAATTCCCAAATAAATATCGAATGCTAAGAGTATTATTCGAAAAACAAAATTTAATCATCAAACAAAATTTCAAAGCAATGTGTTACTTGGACAAAGCTATGAAGATTTTTATTTTAAAGTATATAGTTTAATTCACAGGCGGTAGCTACGAGTATCAATTGCTACAAGAGAGTTCTTTTCATTGTGGAAAAAAGCAGTTCAGCAAATATTGAACAAATTTTTTGTAAAAGAGGGCTAACTTACGACAAACATTTTCAAAAAGTAGTATTTTCGTAACTCTGGACCTGTCTTTTATCTAGTATCTTAATTCTCTTTGCATCGCGGATTTTTTACGTAATGCACGATGAAAGGGCACGGATGATAATGGTAAGTAATCTAAACCCAAAACTAAGATGAACTCAAAATTTATTTAAATTGATTGCAAGTGTCATTTTGCCTTAAGGCGAGTTGCTTATAACTTTCCAATAAGTATAAATAATTACTCTCATTATAATGAGAATTGAGAATTAGCAACTTTTTACATTGCGACGATTTAAAGTTAAAATTCTGACCCGCTTATTTGGATTCCAAACTTTGATGAATTTTTATAATTAAACTATTTTTTGTAGACCTACAAATTTTCGGTATAATCGTTGAGACCATGAATTCTAAGAATTTTTTTTTATAAAAATGTTTCAATAATTAGGGGATAGGGTAAGTTATAGTAATCGTTAAGGCAGGTACAGCCGTTTCGAAGATACGGGTCAAAAAGTGCCAAAAATGGTAATTCAATATTTGAGAGAACGCAGCGTCCGATTTGAATGAACCAAAAAACATTTGATTTGTATTGATTTTTTGGGAAAGCAGCTCTAACGGTTTCGGAGATTCAATGAAAAAGCGCGAAAAAATGCCATTGTAAGACAAAAATGATCATTAGATATATGCACATCGATTTATCACATATGTTATAAACATTTTAATAAGAAAAAAATTGTTTACTGTTATGCTTTGCTTTATCCGTTATACTGCAACGCGGCGCCCACGCGCTTCGATATTTTGTCTTTACGCAGCTAACGTATCGTAATTGCTTCTAAAAAAGTTTGATATTTCCAAAATATTTCAAAATATAAAAAAAAATCAAATTTTTCAAAAAAGCATTTTTTTAAATTTTTAAATCTGAATATGAACAAGCCAATTAGGTACATACCTGGGAGCCTCCAGTATTTTTTTTAGCTCTCTGTAAGATGTTTATATTAGATCGACTGTCACTACCCCAGAGTGAAATGCCAAAGCTTAATCTCAAAGTAAGTCTTCAAGCTGGAAACGTTTTTTCATTTCTTTTGTAAATTAAAAAATTAAATTTAATCAATGTTTACATATGCTATATGCTCATATTCGATACAAAATAGCAGTTTTTGGATACTGTCTTTGAAACGCCTTCTAAAATAATAAAAATATTTTATAACTTGAAATTAAAACAAACATACTTTTTTTTTTGTAGCTTAAGTATTAGGCAAGTTAAAAAAAATGATTATTGATTCAATAATTTACAGCAAGCTATACAACCACTAATTGAATGTAATTCATATAAATTCTTTGAAGAATTTTGTATTTGGCGATAAGAGCTTTGGCTTTGCAAGCCAGAGTTGAAGATTCTATAGCAACCTCAAACAACATGATATCAAGCGGTAATGATATCAGTTTTCACTTGAAAATATAGCTGCCCTGTGAAACTAATCTCTTTCCAGCAGTTGGCTTATCCATATATCAAATATGGATAAGCCAACCGTTGAGTTGCCTGCTAAAAAGCCAAGTATTCAGTAAGGTATCATCTCATAAGTCCTGATTGGTGTTCAACAATAACAAAAAATAAAATTAATTAATTTCCTGCATATCGCTAACTGTTCATAAGCAACACAAAAGCTCATTCAAATCTGATGTAAATGGTCTGTGAAAAAATACCGTTTCCGTTGTCGAGGCTTGTATAAAAAAATATCTGTTTTTTATATAATGTTTAAATTAAATTGTCACATATTGTCACATAAATATGCATATAACGGAATCTCTCATTTAATATAACATATGGGTTAATGTGCTGTGTCAATTACAGAGGTGTCAATTGTGTCGGGCACGACTCCGAACTTGTCGCCCGGAAGAATAATGAACTTAAGTTCATTTCATCATAATGAAAATTTTCATTATGAATAATAATGAAAATTGTTGTTCATTATGAATAATATGAAATTTTTAAAGTTTAAAGGAAACTCACGTATTATTTGATACAATTACCTACATTTCTAATTTCAATAATTATTATTTATTTACACTTGATGCTCGAGCTCTAACATAGCCAAAATATTTTGTGAAATTAGCCGTTTTTTTAACTTCTCGTAGGGTAAGTTATTGAAATCGCAAAAATATCGAAAATGATTTTGTTTTATATATCTTTACGTTTCAAACCTTTCTGAACATTTTGGCATACCTCATAGAAAATTGATATCTGTGTGTGTGTGTGTGTATAGGTGCGGATACAATTTTTCCTCGACGATTTCGAGAACACAATTCTTGAAACATAAGTTCTAAAACTCACTTATATATTTCAAATAAATAATTTTAACTTCGCATTCAGTTTATATAATTCTTAGAAATACGATTTGATAATTTTAAGTTTTCTCGACGTTTCAAATAATTCTGAATCGAATGAGACCAAATTTGGAAAAAGTACAGATTATTTGCCTTAAGTCGACGTTTTCTCAAAAATGCTTAGACCGATTTCAAAAATTTACAAGCCATTCGATGCATCTCGATGAGGACTAGCGATTCGCACTTTTGTGCGACAATCGGCCGAGCCGTTTCTTTGTAAATAGCAGAAAAGTATAAAAAAATTGTCCACGTTTTAGCCCGCAATTCTGAATCGATTTTAAAAACTCAAAAACCGTTCGAAAGGTATTGGTTGGGAAAGATACTGATTAGTTTTTGGTAAAGATTTGTTAGCACGTGTTTTTGTAATTAACTGTTGAATTTTTTCTTGCGATTGATATCGATATGATAGGTCTTCTAGATCATACTTGAATATTACGGCCATACAACAATTCGTTCAACTTTGAAAATTCGTCAAAGTTTCATTATGAGTAATTTTACTCTTTATTGCTCTTAGAAATGCCAAGTACACCTAGTGTTATAATTTTCTATAAAATGAATTTACAAACCCACGATAGATTTTAGCAGTCTATTTTCAGTATAATTTTACAAATTTTATTTTATAAAAACCATATATAATTGTTTTATATTTTCATATCTGCAATTCCTAAATGGACCGTATCGAATGTAATAAACAAAACTTGGTATTATACAAACTTTATTGCGATGATTTTTTTTAAACAAAATGCTTTAAAAATAAATTATTTAAATAACATGTGAAATAAATAAATTTAAATCTAATACTAATTTGGATAAGGAAATTTAAATTTAAATTACAAACTAGTATAAAAATAATCTACAAACTAGTAATAATTTATAAATAATTATAATGTAAATTCATTACTATAATTGTGATTTGTCAGTATACAATTTGCTAATTAGATGTAAAATATATAAATAGCAAATGCATAGTGACTTTTGTACGAGATAAATTTTAACAAAATTGAAAATATTTTGTAAACTTATCTCCCTTAGATAAAAAATACCCTCTCTTCGTCAATGATAAACTAAAAGTCTTAGCATACATATGGTGTTATAGATTTTACTCTTCTGTACAAAATTCGCAAATTAACGCTATATCAATAACTCATGAATTTTAAATTAAATTTCTGTATTCGAAAATTTCAAGCAGTTTATATAGCGTATTAATCATCATACCATGAAAATATTTCTTATCATTTTTCTTCAAAATAATATTGGCAGTCATAAAGTGTTTCATGATTAGACAAAAGGATGACTAAATGATTAAAGTCTAATTATGCTAATGCACGTTGTATCAGATTGCTAAAATTGGTGTCAATAACCATATAATATTACAGATTGGCAGTCACTTTTATGATAACTATTAATCATCCAGATCAGTTTTCCCAACGTGATGTCCATGCCTCTTAAAGAAAATTGAATATTTACGGCAAAAAATCCA